CCCCAAAACCCCAAAACCCCAAAACCCCAAAACCCCTGATGGGACTTAAATCACTGAAAAGATGTTTTTCAGTATATAATAGTTAATTCTGATGACAGAAGTTTTAAACTCCCAATCGGCTCACCAAGGCTTAGTCTGGCAGGATTTAAAATCGATGCGTGCCATGACTGACTCTATCATACATGAATGTAGCGGCTACAGTCCAGTCTTGATGTTCATGATGGGAGCAAGCTATTCAAAAGTCCAAGAAGAACTCACTCTTGAAGCCTTTCTGGAAATAGCGGCTAAAATCCAGGCTAAAATTCAGTACTTTGGTCAAGACAGTCCTGAAGCTAAGAGGATTTACAAAGAGCTGAATACCAAAGCTGACATTAGGGATGTTCTCAATCTCCCATTTTTCAAAATGAAGACTCTAGAGGAGGTCAAAGGATCTGAATCATCAGAAATTAGCAAAGATAGTCTAAAAAACAGGTAAAATTCGTCATAAAGCCTGGATTTTAGTCTAAAAAGAAGTAGATTTAGCCATGAAAGAGCCTGTGGGCTCTTTCATGGTCCTTCTTTTTAGCGCACGAATCCGTTGGTCTGATTTCTGTTAAAATTCGAGAGCTTTGTCCATCAAATTGATACAAATTATCGCCAAAAACTTTTTCTTCCCGAATAAATGTGACAGTTTAATTTAAGGCATATTTATAGGAGCGTGATGGAATCTAATACTAGTGAAGATACCACATCAGGAATTCTGATGCTTGAAAAATCATGGATCTCCCAAGGAGTCTTCTTTGTAATAAAGATGGCAAAATCTTTATCTTCATTTACTCCTTTTCAAAGTTCACCGTTGAATATAGTAAAAATCTTTAAAAGGGTCTCACCGTGACATATAGTACAGTCTACATATACAGACTCACGAAGAATGACCATGAAGGATTCCATGGCTTAGCCTATTCAAACCAGCCGGACAATAAATAGTTGTATTTATTCCAGGAATTTGGTCAAACTCTTGAAGTATCTACCATAATTATTTTAGCAAATTTATCCAGGAAATTCAAGAACATCTTTTTGGATCTGCCTCGGATTCTCAATGCTTGTCAAACCTGTTAGAGTCTGAGCCAGACTTGGCTCTGGAGGAGGAAGTCAGTTTCATAGAAGCCCCCATGCTTATTAATTATAAAGCTTTGAGGTCAAACTTCACAATGGGGTTTATTAGATTTCTGAATAGGAACACTTCAGAAATTTTGTCAGGTAAATTACCTAGCTACCTTTTTAGGCTCGATTAGTGGAAGCACTCTAATGAAGAAGAGTATACTGCCGGAATGTCCAATCTGCTTAGATAACATCAAATCAATTGATCTTATTACCACTGAGTGTGGACATATGTTCCATACTGAATGTATGGAGATGCATTGCAAGTCTGAGATTGATTCAAAATCTCTTCCTATCAAGTGTCCGCTTCAGAAGTGCAGGAAGGCAGTCCATAGCTCCCAAGTTAGGAATATTGTAGAGCCTGAGGTTTACAAGAAATTAAAAAGGTTCCAAGTGGAGTTATTTGTTGAAAAAAACTCAGCCTTCTACCATTTCTGCCCAAGTCCTGACTGTACCAATGTGTTTGTATGGGTTGCTGACGAAAGATTCCCTTCTAAACAAGACTGCCCAGCTTGCTTACAAACAATTTGCTTAAAATGCAAGACTCCATCGCATGAACTCTTCACTTGTGAGGAATTCTCAGAGATTAAAGACTCTAGTCCTGATGACATAAGGTTCCATACGCTTCAGAAGGAGCTAAAGTTCCAGCAATGCACCCAGTGCAAGTTCTGGGTGGAAAAGACTCAAGGATGTAACCACATCACTTGTAGATGCAAGTATGAGTTCTGCTACGTGTGTGGTGGCAAGTACAATTCCTGTAAATGCTAGGTCTTAAAATGCCTGTATTAATGGAATAATTATACAGTTTCAGTTTCAATCGTAATTAGGCTTCGCGGGGTTTTGGGGTTTTGGGGTTTTGGGGTTTTGGGG